CTATCATAAATTGTCTCATGCTTACTGACCTATGATCTATCTGTGCTCTCGCATGGTAATTCTGTTGTAGTTGTTGGATATGATTTTTTAAATATGCTATTTATAAATAGGATATGGAAAAATATTTCTGCTAAACCATTTTGCAGCATCTCTAACATTTGCTAGGTATCATTTTAGACCAATTAATTATCCAAAGATTTGTATTCTTATGCGTGTGTGTGTGTATTTACATTCATAACAGTTTTCTATTTAGCCAAGCAGATTTTGAAATTTTGTCAGTAAAAACGTTAACCTACATAACTTGATATTTTAGCACCATTGTGAATTAAATCATGAAAAAAAAAAGTATTTTTTTTCCACCACCTGGGATTCATTTCCTTTTGTTCATCTTAAAAATCCAAAAGTTTGAAGCAAATATAATTAAATATCTAAAAGCAAACAAGGGGACTTACTATTATATTTTGTCATATTGATTCAGATACTTTTTATTGCAACATTCAGTGGTTCATTAAGGTTTTCAAACCCAATCAAATGCAGCTGGGGTTTCCAATTCCAAGGCCTTAGATAGCCAAGAGTTTAAAAACTTATAGTGGAACTCCTCATAGTGAGAACAGTATTTCAAAATGGTTTACAAGAGGCTGCATTGGCTAAGTACAGTTTCAAATCGCTTTGCTTTTGGTTAGGTAAGCATCATTATATCTGGGAATCAAAAAATTATTAGATGACTTATTTCTTTTATTAATAAAAAATGAGATTGGAGGAGCTTATTCTTTGACTAGTGTAAGAAAATTGGTACCTTAAAAATACTGACTTCCTGTGGAAATCACTGCATTAGAGTCATCCTCTTTCACAGTAGAATTCTGAAGGCATAGGAAAATCATTGAGACTTTTGGATTTCAAAGTGTACTAGTATGTGCAAATATAAAGATACATTTAACTTTAGTTACAGAATTTGCTAATGTCATAATTATTATCTCAATTTATAACATGCATCCTGAAGTAAATTTTAACATTGAGTTGCTTTTTGAAAAACTCATGTCTATTATAACTCTATTAAAAATAATTCATTTGTATTGTGTCCAGAATACTGCTACATTTTACATATTGTATCTAGATAGGAATAGCCAATCCAATATACTTCATATATACAAAGATGTAGATACTCCACATTCACTTTTTAGGAGGTAAATTTTTATTAAACTTGATATATTTTTAACAAGAGAATATAAAGCCCTGGTCAGCCAGAAGATACCATAGTCCCCGTGACTGCTTAGCAGGAGAGAGAGAGAGAGAGAGAGAGAGAGAGAGAGAGAGAGAGAGAGAGAGAGAGAGAGAAACATACTTAATCCTTAAAGTGTCAGCTTTTGGAAATCTTATCTATTTTATGTCATTTAATTATTTCTTTATTGCTGGTTTGATGAAAATCAAACCGAATAACATTTCTTCCAAGGACATGTCCCTGGAAGAAATGTTAATATATATATATTAACACTGTTAATATATATATATATATATATATATATATATATATATATATAAACAATGTTAATATGTGTGTGTGTGTGTGTGTGTGTAAATATAAAATGTTCTGGACTTGGATTATATCATTCTTCTATTCACAGAAATGTGCTGGCTTTTTAAGTTATTTAGGAGGGAAACAGAAGGCATTCACGTAAGCTTGAAGGTCATTTCGTATCTGGCTCATATAGGGATGCATTCTCTGGAACACGATGCTTTATAGCAGAACCGGAAAGAGAAAGGGGGGCTGCAGACGGCTCCCCAGCCTCCTGGGAGCAAGACTGCTGTTCGTCAGTGTTTGCACCTGCATGAGCAGTGAAGGCTGCCTCGAACAATGCCCATCAGCTCAATTCTATTCTTTACCTCCCGCCCCCTTCTCTTCCTGGGGAATCTGGCTTTCCTGTCACTCAGGATAACGATTTCCTGCAAGCATCACTGAGACCCAGAAAGTCACTGTAATCTCATCAGGAGTGTGATTTCCCAGCTGGGACTCTTGAATTTATATAACCCCAAGGTAGCTAGCTGTTCGGGGTGCATAATCCCCCGCGTTGGTCCCCAGAGCTCCCACATCATTTAAAATGGAAGCCCTCTGATAAAGATGACCTCATCACCTGACAAAATTAGAGAAGATATATCCCCAAATCATTACAATCAGAAAGCTGTAATTTAACCCAAGATGTTGCCTGATGTTAACCTTATGTATGACAGTGTTGTTTCACCCATCCTGAAAAGAACTTAGTCTAGGCCTAACATAAATTTCCAAGGAGCCCAGTAAAATTTGGGCAGGAGATTGGCTCTGCATCCTGTGTTTTGTGGCCTATGGCACACTAAGAAGCTTTGTTATTTTTTATTAGTAAAACTGCTAGAGATCTATCACTTCCAAGTTTCTCGTGAATGCCTTGAAAATTTATTCTAAATGGTACCCACCTCATCATTTTTTAGGCTTTATGAACTCAATCAAAGATATTAATATAAAAGAGAAATAATATTTAAGAGAAGATGTTTCCTTGCTTATCTTCCTCCTTTCCTGGGAGCAGTGGGTTGTCCATATCCTTATGTAGAAATGGATCATAATATGCCCCCATCACAGAGCTGTTTGTGACAGATCATGTTAGTATAGAAAACCAGGTCTCTGCTTCTCTCATTGCATTATCTAATTTTTGTGCTAACAAGCATTGAGGAGTGCTTATCTTTTTTCTCACAACATTGACCTTTGAGCCCAGGTGGCATTTTATAAAGCTGTCTTTTTAAAAATATTATAAATAACAGTGAGTAGTAGAAAGGGTCACAGGCAGAGCAAAGAGCTGGAAAAGAAATTTTAAAATATCTAAGACATGAGGAGTTCACCTAATTAAAAAATGTATTCCATGTATTTTTTGTTTATCTTCATAAACATATGTTTATCAAGATACAAAATTATATAAGAATATATTTACAATCTTGCTTCCAGTTGGCATCCAAGAGTAAGTTGGCATCTCTATGTCGCATACTATACATGTAAATGTGAATATAAATGCACATGTTTTATTTTTCATATGTGAATCTGTAATTGCATGGATATGCTTGGATCTAACTTGTTAAAAATGACTACATTTATATAAGTGTGCATACATAAATAAAATTTATTCTTAGTTGGCATCAGGCAGCAAGTTAGCATCTGTTACAAACTAAGTTTGCATTTACTGTGTGTGTGTGTGTGTGTGTGTGTGTGTGTGTGTGTATGAAGCATAAATATTAGAATGAATACATTACTTCTTATTCATAGTTCCTTTAATAATGATTAAGTGCATGTAGGAGCATTTATCATTATTACATTTATCATTCAAAAGTTAAGCTTAGAAAGCAGTAAACAGGTTTTTTTTCTCAAAAAACTAAGCAACAAATAGGTCTCCAGGTATGCACAGTGACATGAAGAGAAGGAAACAGATGAAACCTTAAGGAGTGGAGAGTAAAATATTAGTAAGATAAGTAGCATTTTTGTGGGAGCAACGACCTTTTAATTTGTGCTTTCAGAAAATACAAGTTAAATATTTTTGTTTATATGTATATATCGATATCTATATACAAATGGGATTAGGTACCATTAGTTGGTTCTTATCACATTCATGTTAAACTTTATTGTGTTGGCTATGAGGACAGTTTATAAAAAAAAATATGTTAAGTACAGGTAGTGAAAACAGTTTTGCTTTCCGAAATGGCTATTTTTATATATTTAAGTTTCACTTGACTTCTTGATCAATTAATACACTTTTATTTTAGATGGCATTACTATAGTAGAACTGAATCAATAAAATAAGGCATGTGTGAGAAAGTAAATTAAAGCTAACAAGTTATCAAAAAGTATTTGTGGACATTTTATGTATTTTCTGAAAGGACTTTTTATGTATTTTCTGAAATATGGAATTCAAGTATTGCTAATACTGTATGTTAACTCTATAAGGTGTGTGTACATGTTCTATACTAACTCAATATTTTTGTAACAATCAACATATAATTAATTTACTTATTTATCCTCAGCAGCCATTTTAAAGTCTACACAGGCTGGTTGGACTAGTTTGACAAGGAATAAAATTAACTCTCATTTGCCCATATGAGAAAATTTAACCTTAACTTGTTTCTTACGTACCTTCAACATGTACCTATGGGATTCTGTTTTATTAAAAAGAGTGTGGCACTATGTATTGCTATAATGTTAATATATAGAGGGAAATTCAATAGCTTAACTACTATTGAATAAAAAAAAACACATTGTAACTATTAGCTTTTTGTTGAAACAGTTGTTCAAACTTTTGGTGTTAGCTTATTCTTTTGGAATACAGTAGTATTTTTATGGTACAAAAGGGTAGTTATGGTCCATTAAGAATCATTGGTTAGTATAAGTTTGTTTCATATAGATGATATTAATTTATGGAATATGCAGACTTATTTAAAATAGTGATATATTTTATTAGTCTAGTTCTGATTAGATTATATATAGGAATATTTTGCATTTATAGTTGTTAAGTGATAGAAGTAATATTTATGTAATATTTATTGTATTCTTATCATAAAAGAAATTCTCCAGAATAAAAAAAGTATTACTTCACTGAGTTCTAAATATTGGTCTTATAGAGGATGCATGTGTATGTAGCAGGTAGAGATTTTAAAGACACTTGCTAGCTGGTCCTCCTATTATTGATTAATGGCATGAGCCATCCCATTTATTCTAATGGCTATCCCTGTTCTACACCGTGTTTCCTTTATTTTTAGACCAATGAGTTTTAATCATTACATTTAATAAGCTAGCATTAGATTCAATATTCTAATGTTCCTAGTGTTCTAAGCTTGATCATTTATTTTATTTTATTAAATGTTGATGCATACAAGTCATTATGCTGTACCTTATTGACTAAAACTGTTGCTGAAGACTAAAGGAGAAAATTCTAATTTTATATTGGTATAGAAAGTAAGCTTAACATGTTTTCTTGCTCTTTTTTTTATAGAGAACACCTGTTCCCAGCGCTGAAGCATTCCGATGGTTCTTTTAAAGCAGTAGTATATCTTATTTTCAAGGCATTTGGAAGTGAAGGGCAAACTAATGTCTTGTTTTAAGAAACTGCTTAGTCCACCACTGAAGAAAATATCAGATATTATTTTCATTTTATGTATAGGGGTAAAAGTAAAAAGAGACATCTCAAAATAACCTGGGAGCTCTGGGAATTGGCCGGTCCGTTTACTCTGGACACACTGATTCTTTGATGTGATTTAGCTATCCTAGTGAAGTCGTCGTCTATTTTGAAAGTGGCTGTAAAAAATAAGTTTGGGTAAACCCCTGCTGTAAAATCATGTATCTTTGCAAAGTACATATCTATACTTCATTTTCAAATATATGTGTTTCAGTACTGTAAACTGTACAGATAGCAGCTTGTATTTTGTGTGTTTAGACACAAGGAGACAATCACGTCTGAGCATCTATGGAGATTAACAGTTTGTACACAACAGTATGGTTCTGCGAGTTAAATCTGGAGCAATAAATTTTAGCTTTAAATATTTTTTGCCAGTTGTTTCTAGAAGCAGCAGGAGCAGTGGCATGCTTTGCCATGCATCTTTCGGTGGAGACTTCATGCCAGGTTTCACAAGAAGAAAAGATGATGATGCATCCGGCATTTACCTGCAGTTGTATTGCGATAGGAGGGAAGATGTGATGAAAGTTTCAATTAATCTTTTGAGCACTATATTAGAGTAGTGGTTATGCACTTGCATTGCTTACAAACGAGCTGTACAGAAGGGTTATACCTCCCAAATACTTAGTGTAGTTGACTTGTCTTGGGTTGCACTGTATGGCGGAGTACCCTGAGTAGTTGGAATATGCAGAATCAGTTGTATAAATTTTTTTAAACAGTGTTTTCTAGGACACAGAAGCATCGGATCGTAGGGGGAGAAATCCATGGCTGAGTTGTTGTTTTTTACTAGCCCAGCATGGGCTGTATTTTTTGTTTGTTTATTTTTTGCCTTATTATTATTATTATTGGTAGGAAAAATAAACACTTAATAATAAAATGTATTCAAATGTTTTAATTCCATGTATGATATTAAATGGGTAGTTTTGTTTTACATTTGAACATATCAAAGCTTCTGCCTTGAGACATGGCTAGGTATATTGTTAAGTAAAAAGAATTAAACACATTCATAAACGTGAGGGTTTTTTTTAATCTTTTGTTATCTTCCTTTCTCATAGCCTCCCATTTGGACCAGTGGCCTTCCCCTAGGCCCTCAGTGGAATGTTCCATTGCTCCCATTCCCATTCTTGTCATCAAGGATGCTGTGGTTCCAGAGAATTCCATAAATGTAAACAACCCCTAAACACAAAGGAGTATGCTTCATAGGACCTGGGCCTTTTTATCTAGAATTTGGTTTGCTTATGGCAGTTGGGGCTCCCAATGCTGTCCCAGTAGCACAATTATTATTTGTGATGACATGTTACCTAAGATTCTTCCTCCCCCCCCCCCTTTTTTTTGGTCAGACACTGTTCAACTTCAGCAATAAAATAGAGTTTAGCAAAAACACATATAGAATCAAAGTTGCCATGTTACTGTCATTTTTTTAAAACTTTTTATCCAGCCTACACATCCATTAGCTTTCTGAAAAATGTTAGCAAAATATATCATGTGAAGAAAAATAACTTGGGAAAAGAAAGGGTGATGAAAAAGACTGCAAAACTTTAGAAAGCCTAGCAGATGAATAATTTTAAAAGGCTAGTTCTAGCTTTGAATTGGAAGTAATAGAACAGAGGAGATTTTATAAAACATGGAAGGAGCATTTGCCGTAAGAATTCTGGAGGGAGGGTTGGATAAGGTACTAACAAATGCTAATGTTAAAGTGTGCTTTAACTTGCCTGGAATATGAATGCAAGGTCTACAGTTATGGTCCAATAGTCTTTTTGAGGAAAATTCATTATCTGTTATACCTATCCACGTTTAGAGAAGAGAATTAAATAATCACAAACTAAAACATGCTGTATATTAGTTTTGAGATCACTTTCTACTTGCTATGTATTCCTTTGAGGATTTCTAGATAGAATTTCTATTCCAGCTGTGGGAGAAGAGAGCTATATGAATTATTTCTAGTTCCTTTTTTATTTTACTTATTTTTTAAATAAATTTTGCTAATTTTTACAAGTAACTGAAAACTAACTCTCACACTTGAATGAGAAGCTTGCCTTGCTTTTTGGAAAACAATGGTTGTTATTACAGCAGTGAAGCAAACTTCTTTCTCTTCAGACTGCATTGGGCACACAATAGCATACAAAGATCTCATAACAATGTACCAAGAGTCTAAAATACATGCTAGTGTTGCATGTCTTGATGTGTTTTTGTTTGTTCGTTTTCTTAAAGAACTTACAAATCTGTATATTGTAAAATGTGGTGTTTTACATGTCAATTCAATTTTTTAATGAAAAAATCTTATTAAAATGGAAATGTATAGCTTTTCTTTAATTCTCTTATATGTTCTTATTCTTGACATTGTTCTTTTACATTGCCCATTTCTTTAGTTGTGCTAAAACTCTATTTATATAATGTAGGGTGCATATAAAGTTCTAGTTAATGATGTTGAAGAAGGATATTATTTATCTGGCCTCAATCTAGTTCCTTTCTCTAAGTCTATGTACCAAGAGCTGTAAAGCAGATCATTATAATCCTAAGGGAATGATTTCAAGGTTTACATTTTCATGATTTTAAAATACCAATGAAAGGTAATTTTTAAAATTCCTCACTGTATGTTTTATATTCAGCACCAAGAAAATTTAGAACATAAAAATGGAATATGGATCGGGTGGACTATCAATACACCTTAAAAATTTCCTACAAGAGAAGTCAAATAAAATAGTTTGTAAGAGAGGTCTACATACACAGAAGTCTTGTTTTGTCTTGGGTAGATGAGGAAATGCTATATTCTGTCAGCATTTTGGGGGGAGCATGGAAAATCTTTGGGTGTCAATTTCCTTGTCAGCTGTCACTTAGCACCCTAACATCACAAGAACATCATCATGTAAACCTTTTTCCAGACCTTCAGACTTCAGTGGCTTTGTGATGAATTCTATCTGTCTGTGTACAAGGGGAGGCAAATGTACAAAGTAGAAATGTATCTATGCTTGGGAGGAAAAAAAATGTCTTTCTCCATTGTAAGAGTATATAAAGACATCTCCTGGTTGCTTAATTCCAAATACACAACTTCCTTCTTCTAAACACATTTAAAGGGAGCAAGAGATGGTGGGCTTACTATGAATGAATATAAACTAATCACTCAAAGAAAAGGATATTCCTTTCCTTTTATTCAGAACCCCTGACATGTAAATCGTACAATTAATCTTAAAGCATAGAAAGTGTATAAGCTGATAGTATCTGTAATCAAATAATGAAAAAAAGAAAGCCATTAAAGGAACACACCATCTAGGGTCAAATAATTTCAACAAAAACTGTAGTGGGTCTTTGATCACAGGGATATCAAACAGTTGGTTCTCATGTAACAGCTAAATGTTTCAGATTTTGTTTTTATTAAATTTGGCAGTTTCACACTGAGATCTGTATTTCTGGTGAATAGAAGACAGCTACTATGTTAGGAGGGCTTCAATTTTCACAACTGCAAGGAAGTTAGAAATTTCAGGAACAGACCACAAAATGTACTCGTTTCACAGTGCTCTCCTATTCTGAACTGTGCAGTTATCTATTCAATTTTCTAACAGATATTTGTGTAAGGTGTATGTATGCTTGTGCAATTATAAAAAAAGCAGTTTTGGAAAACAGTGTATTTATTAAAGAAAATTACTTATAGGGCATGTACAAAACTGTAAAATAAAAAACAAAAAAAAAACTTTAAAAGACACATTCAATTTGCCCAGTAAAGTTGTTTTTGTGAAATTTATGTGTTGTTGAATAAAGGACTTTAGTATTCAAAGTATCTTTATTTTTCCATGAACAAATTTTTATTTGTGGGATTTTTAAATAATGAGCATATGATCCTGAAAACCTAATTTTGTTTATGATAAAAAGTTTATAATTCTACATTTGCCCTTATGTTAGCAAAATGAATGCTGTATATAAATCTTTCATAAAACATGCCAGTTTGTTCATTCTGTTTTTCCTCCTCTATGCTGCCTTCCTCATAACACCTAAAGAAGGGGAGTAAAGAACATGATTGTTTTCACATTTCCAAAGGATATATTTTTATTGAAAGCTTTAATAGGCCATTGGAGGAAGAAATAAATATATCCAAACTTTTTCCCCTTCCTCCCCATCATGTGCCAGGAGAAAGCAACCCATGAATTTCTTGTGAATGAAAAGTCCTGGTCATAGTACCTGGAGGCAGAAATGTGCAATGCCAGAATTCTTTAGCCACTCCCAGCAATTCTCTGAGATGGCATTGCTATCATTAGCTTTTTTATTATGGAATATTGTGTCCACTAACGCTGCTTATTATTTGGTGGTGAATGTTCTTAACACTTATTTCACTGCTTCTCTGAACAAAGATCCTTTCTTTTCAGTTTCTCTAACCAGAAGAAATGTAGAATTCCATTTTATATCTTGGAAATCTTTAATATTGTTGCAAACATAGAACTTCAGACAATTGGAAGAGTTTATGTCCACAGAGAATACCACATTAGAAGATTTTTGTAAAATTAAGAATTTCAAGATGTGTCCTATTAATATAATATCACAAGTATAAAATACCTTGGCCATGGCCATAGAGTTGGATATCATAGGTTACATGAGGTGATAAAGAAGAATTACTATAGGTAACGAATTATGAAAGACCCTGGATTCTCAACAATTTTTCAGGTGAGTCACTATGCTTTTTTATTATATATTGGTGTAAACAACAATATTGCAAAAAATATAAAACTGGATTTTCATACATAATACTTTCTTACCTGAAAATTTAAAGGATATAAATACTTGGAGACTCATATGTAATTCTTTAGAATACATTGAATTAGCCAAAAAGAAAAAGGGCAGTTTTATAACTTATGTAGACATTGAGCCAGATAATA